ATTATTGGCTTATTAGTCTTCTATTATTTGAATTTGTGTTTATTTATTATAATTTAATAATATAATTAATTTAATCATTGTTTTCTTTTGTAATTTAATGATCGGTGACTCTTGTTATCACAAAATGAATTCAACTTTCACTATCTTATATTTTTTTCACAGTGAAGCATTTATGTTTTGTTTAAAAGAATTTTGACAATCATTGTACGAAAAAGTTTATTTTGGATGAATTTGACAAGTGTAAAAAACTTAGCAATATTTATTTGAAAACTATATATTATTACTTTTTTACAATAAGAAGCTTAGTTATTTTTGTAACAATTAGGTAATAATTATATATAATACTAGACTTTAAAATCACATTATGCGCGATTTGTTTCTATTGTACCTTTTTAATAATTATTAAATATAATAATATTGATTCACAATTATAATTAATTTTTAATTAATAAATATAAAAATTATTTCAAATAGATATTAATTTATTCTAAACAATTATTTAACTTTCTTACCAATTGAAAATTTTTGAGATTTACATAATAGAACAGCTCATCAAATCTTAATTAATAAATATAAAAATTATTTCAAATTGATATTAATTTATTCTAAACAATTATTTAACTTTCTTACCAATTGAAAATTTTTGAGATTTACATAATAGAACAGCTCATCAAATCTTCATTAATTTTTTTTTTTTTTTTATCTTTGCATCTATAATTATTGCTATTTAATGTTTCTATTTTTACACCAATTTGTCTCCTATTTCTTGAATACACTTATTAGAAGGTTTGAGTCACAATTAAAAAATAATAATAATAATTTATTAGTATTATTCTTATAATGCTTTTTCATTTATCTATATATACTTTACCTTTCATTAATTTTTCTTGCAATGTCATCTCCTAAATTACCTTCACATATTTTATTATTATATTTATCTATTTCCATATATTCACCTCTCTTTCTCTCTTCTATATTAATAAATTATTTGTTATTATTTTTTCTCCCTTTATTCTTTCATTATATTATTCTTTTTTAATCACTCATTGCACTTTTATGGATCATTATATATCCTTTTTTTTTGTTTGATTTCTCTCTCTCTGTTTTAATCTATATTAGACACGTTCTAATATAGAAGTATAGTCAATTTAACTATTAAAATATAATATAAATATAGTTAATTCAGTCAATTTCTATATCTTATATGCATGGTTGTATCTTTATAAGTTTGTCAGCCTTTAATTTTAGTCCAAAAATTAGAATTTTAGTCCAAAAATTAGTATTTTTTAATGATTGTGTTGTGTTGTGTTGTATATTGAATTAGAGTATGTAATAATTAGTTTCAAAATTAAAAAATGACTGGTACACAGTTCAATTCAATATACTTTTTGACACTAGTCAGTTCAGTTATTAAAATATAGTATAAATATAATCAATTCAGCTATTTCTTGCATGTTGTAAGCATAGTTGCATTTTTATTTTTATTTTTTTATCAGCGAAATAAGCAAACTTTATTATGCGGAGTACAAGGGGACTCCAATCCATTTACAAAATTAGAATATAACCAATGAAAACATAATTAACGTAATGAACTCTTCTAGCAACTTCTACCACTATACCCATCCCTTTTGGTTCATATGAAACTCCTTTTGCCTTCTCTTATGATTTCTCATAGCTGCAACACTCTCAAGTGGATTAAACTTCCAATCACAAAATGAAAATACACACCCCTACACTTTATTCTTTATCCAAAAGAAAGTCTTTGCTTGTATCATATCCAACAACCCCTTCCTAGAACCTGCATCCCCTTTAAAAACTCAATTCCTCCAATACCATATATACCATGATGTAACAATCCCAATTCCTTTCCTATCACCTTACCCAAACCGTACAAGAAAAATTCTGCTACTCCCACCCCCCTCAATATATTCGACAACACAATCGCAATACCCCACCAAGACAATACCTTAACCCAAATTAACCAAGCTTCCTTACATGTACAAAAGACATGATTAGATTCTTCCACCTCCTCATTACACAAACCACACATTAAGCCCCCTCCAACACCATCCCTCTTTTTTGCAAACTCCATTTTGTTGGAAGTCTCTCAAGACATAATCTCCACCCAAAGAACTAACTTTAGAAGGTACTAATCGACACCAAATTAACTTACACAATTGATCATTGAGAATAGATTTCATAGTTGTATTTTTAAGTTTGTTTACCTTTAATTTCATATTAGAAAATAATGATTTTTAATGAATGTGTTTTGTAGTGTATTGAATCGGAAAGTGTGCCAATTAATGTCCTTTAGACTTTTAATAAAGAGAATATCAAAACATTTTTAGATTTCTCACAGAGTCTCTTTTTTTATTTTTAGATTTCTTATAGGTATTCTTATTTGTAGGTGTTATTCTACAATCACATAAATTGTATGTTACAATTTAAAGTCATTCATAATTCTTAATATTTTAATAATCATTATTAAGAAATATGTTTTCTTAAACTATTTACATTTTAATCATTGCACCTTTAGGCTAACAATAATGGAGCAAATAAGAATCAATTTGCAAAGTTTACTTTGAATATAATATAATATGTATATGCAAAACATATTATATAATTAAAGTAAAAGTGAGATTATATGTTTGGGTAAGTTATTTTCAACTTTAATAGTACCTAGATGTAGAATTTACATTATTATATGATAATTAAAGTGAAATTTTAAAATAAGTGTTGACTCAATGTACTCCAAGAGGGAGGGTGAATTGGAGTTCCAAAAATTCTCTCTTTTTTTGCAACCACAAAACCAAAATTAAAGGGAGTGGAGAAGAAGATCTTGCTCAATGATTTTATAGAGGTTCGGTCCAACCACTTGGAGCCTAGTCCTCCACCTTGGCTTCACTCACCAAGGATTTCCTCCACACTCTCCACTAACAACAACAAGGGTGGCTTAAAGGAGCCACTTAATCCTTTTACAAAAAGATGTATATTTCTCCTAAACCTCACCCCTTTACATAGATAAACCCCAAGAATCCTCTCTATAGATCACTCTTGAAGGATTAATCACACCCTCAAGATCACTCATAAATAGAACAAGAAAAGGATTACAAGCAAAGCTCTCTCAAAGATCAAAAACTCAAGTTAAAGCTCATATAGGTAGGTAAAGATATTCAATGCAATGCTCTCTAAACTTGCTTCAGATCTTCTACCAACCATATTTATAACCCCATGGTCGAAAATAACCGTTACTAGTCGTTGGGGGTCATTTAATGCTCTACAGGTCGCTTAATTCGAGTTGCAGAATTGTCAATATAGCCGGCTTATACTTTTAGAGCTGGCTCTATATAGGCGACTTAACTTTTCTATAGCCGGCTCTGCGGGTTTCTTGCATTCTGTTTTCTCCGTAGAGCCAACTTAAAAATTCTATAGTTGGCTTTGCGGGTTTCCTGCACATTCTGTTTTCTTCCATAGCTGGCTGCAAATCATAAAGTCGACTTTGGGATTCCAACTTTAAACACATTAAATAATCTTTAAATAAGTCGACCGTTGTGCATTAAATGCACCCTCACAACCAGCTGCAAAGTTGGAGCCAGCTTTGCATCTTTTCTCTGTGCGTGCCAAACAACCAACTTTTAAGTTTTTATCCGTAGAGCCGGCTGCAGCTTCCAAAGCCGGCTCTTTGCACTTTCACAGCCATCTCTCTACACATTTTCAAGCCTTTTGGTCCTTTTTAGTGCGGTTCAAGTTTTCTTACTTTGCAATCTTTTGACATTTTAACCACACACTTAAATGAACCAATTAGTCACTCAAATGTGTCTTGTAATCATCAAAATCATAGGTACAACAATCTCCCCCTTTTTGATGATGACAAAACACTTTGAAAATAAATTAATGAAAGCACATATATATTTCAATGAGGGCTCATATGGAAACAAAAATTTCAGCATACTTTCTCCCCCTTTTTGTCATCCATCAAAAAGCATATAAGCATAATCAACAAACTCCCCCTTAATTCATGCATACAACCTTTAAAGCATAAAAAATATGTGATTTAAGCACAATATCCACAAATTGCTCCCCCTCAATGAAATAACTCATGAAAGCATGAACATACTCATATAACAATCTCATTAAAATCATACCAAGAATGTATAATCATCTATGATTTAAGTCATAAAGATCAATAAAAAATAAATGAAATAGCACAAATGTGATATGCACTCAAGATAAAGCAATATATGTCCATCATACTCATAAATAGTTTGAAATTGATAGGTTTACCTCCATTATTGTTAGAGCAATTGAATACCTCAATGGAGAGACCACTGCTTGTGCATCTCCTTTGTATGTTCTCTTTGATTAGTGAAGATCTCATCTTTGAGAGAATTTCATTTGAAGTTCCAATACATTTAATTGTCTCAAGTTTACTTAACATTGCTTTGAAAAATTCTTTGCAACAAAACTCATTAGTAGCACCAAAAACAATGTTAATGCCATCATTAAGTATAACATGTATATTTATTACCCTTGAGATGTATTACTATTTATCACATTACCTTTATAAAATCTCTCCTTTGGGTAGAATTATGACCTTTGTTTTTGTGCTTGTTGCATCTCCTCAACCTTGTTTTTCTCACTTGCTTCACATGGAAGTTGTGTGATACTATTGCTTTCAATGCTCATTCTTATTTTTGTTACCCAATAACATCTATATCACAATTTCACAACTTTTTCTAGAGCAAATGGGGCTAGTCTCATTGAATACCACATATTACTCCTCTTTATATGCAACATATCATATGATAATAAATATAAAAAATCTTATTCCTTAAAATCAACCATGACTATGCCAGCATTCAAGTGCATGACATACACTTGCACATAATCAAATATTATCAAAATCATCCATCACAAAGCAAACATACAAATTTCCTAATATACTTAACTTCCAAGTGTAAAAGTCTTCCTAAGGTCATGCTTAACTTCCAAGTGCTATCATCAAAATCATGAAAATAATGAGACAAGTAAATTTGAATGAGACAAACCATGCAAAGTAAGACAAGTTATTAAAATCACTCATTTAAATCAAATCATCAACCATCTTCAAAGTGACACATATGACATTGAAAATCACTTATACCATCAAGAGCTCATTATGAACTATATATGATAGATAATCAATCTAATCATTCATATATGTCAAGTATGTAAATATAATACAAGTAATATCTATAGCAATTAACAAAGTTGTATCAATACTAGAAAAGACACATCAAATGAAATCATACTCAACAAGCATATGTATCAAAGAGTGACCACACATAAACAAATAATTAATAGTCATGTTAATGTAATTATACTCAATGAATAAATGCAAAAAGATAAATAATACCAAGTGACCATGAGGGGAGCATTCAAAAAACAAATTTTGTTTGCACTTTCACTCCAACATTCTTGTTGAGGCATAAGTCTTTATCAAGATCAACTTTACTCTTATTATGACTTTGCCATCAACTTTACCTACAAAACAAAATTAAGTTTCAATTTTTGGTACCCAAATTCGCTTGGGTCCATGGGGGTTAGTGCTTAAAGTTCCTTTTGGAGCCCAAATTTGCTTCACTTTACCTAGAGCTATCAATCTCTTCAAAGGACATACATAGGCAAAGTGTCCTTTTGCACCACATTAATAGCAAGTAACATTAGGATAAGAGGATTGACTAGCTATTACAAAAGAATTCTTAAAAGTCTTTTGCTTTTTAGAATAATCAAATCCAATGCCCCCTTTGTCATCAATACTTCTTTGAGATTTTAAGATAGAATCAAAATTTTCTTTACTCAAGGTAAATTTGGAAATCACATTCTCAAGATCACAAGCTTTTCTCTTTAAAACCTCAGTTTCCTTCTTTGCATCCTCATTGTCCTTTTTCAAAGCATTATTAGACTCCTCACTCTTTAAAGATGCAATTTCACCATTTAAAGAGGCATTTTCTTTAACTAAAACCTCATTTTGTTTTGAAAGATATACAATCTCATTTTTAAGCAATGAAATGGTTTTAGTAAGAGCAAGATTCTCATTCCTTAGTCTCTTAATATCATTCATAGAGCAATCAAGAACTTTGCATAAATCATCATAAGAATACTCAAATGAACTTTCATTAATTGAACTAGAGAAGTTAGAGTTTACCTCCTCATCATTGTTGCTATCCTCTTGAGCCATGAAGCAAAGATTAGCAACACCATTCTCTAAGGAGCTTTTACTTTCCGTTGAGCTAGCCTCATCATCACTTCAAGTGGCGGCAAAAGCTTTCTTCTTCATGCTTTTCTTGTTTTTCCCTTCACCCTTCTTCAATTGAGGGCATTCATTTCTATAATGCCCCATCTTGTTGCACTCATAGCATTTGATATGCTTCTTGCTTGGCTTTCCTCTATCATCATCATCACTACAAATTCTTCCTCTAAAATAGTGAATTTCCTTGTTTCTTTTAGAGGATGTCCCTTTGAGGCTCTTCTTCATGTATTTCTTCACTTCCTTTGAAACCAATTTGGTGGTGTCTACCTCATTGTTAGACTCATCATTACTAGCATTATCTTCACTCTCTTCCTTTTGGTTGCTAGCTTTGAAAGCAACATTCTTCTTCTTCTTCTTCTCAACTACTTCAACTCCACAATCAACTTGAACTTCTATTTCATATGTCATCAATTTTCCAATGAGATCTTCAAGCTTAAGAGTGTTGAGATCCTTAGATTTTTCAATTGTGGTCTTCTTGGTTTCCCAATTCTTGGGCAAACTTCTGAGAACCTTCTTCACCACTTCTTGAGAAGGATAAACTTTACCAAGAGCCTTAAGATTGGTGACTATATCATTCAATCTTGTATACATATCTTGAATGCTCTCCTTCAATTTCATCTTAAAAAGCTCATACATGTGAATGAGTCTATTGATTTTTGACTCCTTTGCTTGGCTTGTTCCTTTACCTCCAAAATGTCCCACACCTCCTTAGCTGTATCACACCCAAAAACTCTATGGAATTCCGTTGGATTGAGAGCATATTGAAGCATGTTGATTGTTTTGTTGTTGATCATGATGTTCACCAAGTCTTCATCATTCCATTCAACTTCTTCCTTTGGAACCTCACTTTCCCCAACTACTTTCATAGGCACATATGGACCTTTCCTAGCCACAATCCATGCCTTAGGCACATTTGCAAGCATGAAGACCTTCATCCTATTCTTCCAATAATTATAATCAGTACCATCAAAGAAAGGAGACTTGGTGGTAGACAAACCTTCAAGTGGTTGAGAAGCTTGAAATTGAGCCATCCCCGATCAACTCCTAGGTGGTTAAACCTTCAAATTGGAGCCCTTGCTTTGATAGCAATGGTTGACTCAATGTACTCCAAGAAGGGGGGTGAATTGGAGTTCCAAAAATTCTCCCTTTTTTTGTAGCCATAAAACCAAAAATAAAGAGTGTAGAGAAGAAGAGCTTGCTCAATGATTTTATGGAGGTTCGGTCCAACCACTTAGAGCCTAATCCTCTACCTTAGCTTCACTCACCAAGGATTTCCTCCACATTCTCCACTAACAACAACAAGGGTGGCTTAAAGGAGCCACTCAATCCTTTTACAAGAAGATGAGTATTTCTCTCAAACCTCACCCCTTTACATAGATAAACCCCAAGAATCCTCTTTATAGATCACTCTTGAAGGATTAATCACACCCCCAAGATGACTCACAGATAGAACAAGAAGAGGATTATAAGCAAAGATCTCTCAAAGATCAAAAACTCAAGTTAAAACTCATGTAGGTAGGTAAAGATATTCAATGCAATGCTCTCTAAACTTGCTTCAGATCTTCTACCAACCATATTTATAACCCCATGGTCGAAAATAGCCGTTACTAGCTGTTGGGGGTCATTTAATGCTCTGTAGGTCGCTTAATTCAAGTTGCAAAATTGTTAGTACAGTCGGCTTAAACTTTTAGAGTTGGCCCTATACAGGCAGCTTAGCTTTTCTACAGCTGACTCTACGGGTTTCCTGTGTTCTGTTTTCTCCTTAGAGCTAGCTTAAAAATTCTGCAGTTGGGTTTGCGGGTTTCCTGCACATTCTATTTTCTTCCATAGCCGGTTGCAAATCATAAGTCGGCTTTGGGATTCCAACTTTAAACACATTAAATAATATTTAAATAACTCAACCGTTGTGCATTAAATGCACCCTCACAGTCAGCTGCAAAGTTGAAGCCGGCTTTGTGTCTTTTTTCCACGCGTGCCAAATAATCGACTTTTAAGTTTTTATTCGTAGAGCCGGCTGCAGCTTCCACAGCCAGCTCTCTACACTTTCACAGCTGACTCTCTGCACATTTTCAAGCCTTTTGGTCCTTTTTAGTGCAATCCAAGTTTACTTACTTTGTAATCTTTTGACATTTTAACTACA